CGACGAGCCCGACATGGATTCGACATGGATTCGACACGGATTCGACGCGGATAGGCCGCGACGGGACAGACAAGGCCCCTGGAGGATGCAACATACAGTAGAGGCCCATGCCAACAAACCCCCTGCCTGCCTCCAGGATGCCCCGGATTTCTTGGGTTCTGGTGGTTTTGCTGTGGGAAGCGTGCCGCTCTTACACCAAGAATCTATATGGAGGACGTCCTGGGGTCTCAGGGTTAGGTTCCTTGTGGAAGGCTTCTGGTGGACTGGCCTCCACTTGTGAATCAAGGTGTCACGACGTAGCCTCGTGAAGGACGTAAGCGCCGGTAGAAGCGCAGACGAGCGGCCCTCCGCTGACCCCTTGGCAGGCGTCGGTGACTTCCCCAGCGCTGCTGACGCCCCGCGCGCACAACACGTCATCGGTTGTCATCCCACTGCCGTGGGCCTCTCCGCAGTCCGAGTTGCTCACGACGTTCACCTGCGCCCCCTGCAGCAGGCCAGGGGAGGACCCTCCAGAGGGGAGGGCCCCCCGGCCAGCGATGGCGCACCCGGCCACGGCCAGGGGGGCGTGCAGCCGCCGATCCGCGTGGGCCCGGGCCGGGTCCGGCCGGGTCCGGCCGAGAGCGGGCGGTCGCCGCCCCGCCCCCCCCGGACGCGCGGGGAGCCTCCCGCGGAGGGCTCCCAGAGCCCCGCTGGAAGGGCGCGAGGAGGCCCCCAGGCTCGGGCCGAGCGGAAGTCGGCGGCGAGCCAGGGGGGGGGAATTTCGAGGTTCGAGCTTCCTGCAGGTTCCGGGTGTTCGGGCGTTTTCGTAGTTCCTTGGCGGTTTTCCCCCCTCGGGATGCGTTCCAGCGGCCGCGCCTCGCCGAGAGCGTTCCGGGAATGCCCGTATCTTCCCGAACGGCCGCTGGCTGGAGACCCGAGTCATGATCCGAAAATTGAACTCGGCGTCGAGCCAGGGGGGGAGGCTAGAAGGAGAATGCCCTCTCAGACGAAGGCGGGACTTGTAGCCCTCACGCCTTCTGAGAAGCTCTCTGTGTTCGTATTCGGGGAAGGCTCAGAAAGCTTCTCAGATTGCGGGGGGGGGGTCCGAGCCTTCTGAGAAGGCCTGCCCCTTCTGCGTTCCCCCTCGCTCGCCGCCAAGAACGAGGAGGGTAGGGAAAGGGGGGGGCGAAGTCTGCTGCGTGCAGCTGGTTTCGGCCCCGCCGCCGGGCCCATGGCGCCTCCGGCGCTAGGAGGCGTCGGGGAAGTCCGTTGCGGTAATGATTCGCCAACCGCCCCTTTGCCATCCGCCTTTTCGGGTCGGGCGAAAGTGGGGTTTGGGAAGGGGGGGGTACGAAATCTGCTGCAGGTAGCTGGTTTCGGCCCCACCGAGGGGCCCGTTGCTCGATACATAGCCGCCTCCGGCGCCGGGAGGCGCCGGGAAAATCAGCTACGTGAGTTGGTTATCAAACCACACCTTTGCTGTCCTCCCCTTTCGCCGGGCCCGACCCTTCCGTGCGACCCGGTAGGCAGCCGCCTTTCAGAGCAGCCGAGGGGCTCTCGGAGGAATTGGGCTTTCATGCCGCCGTCTTTCGGCTCGTCCCCTCTCGACCGCGCTCCCCCTCCCGCGTTGTCCCCTCTCGTGCTGTCCCCTGTCCGTGTGGCCCTCGGGCCCCGGGCGGCCCGACACAGGAGCATCCTCCTCCTCCTCCTCCTCCTCCTCCTCCTCCTCCTCCTCCTCCTCCTCCTCCTCCTCCTCCTCCTCCTCCTCCTCCTCCCATCTCCTCCCTCCTCCTCCTCCTCCTCCTCCTCCTCCTCCTCCTCCTCCTCCTCCTCCTCCTCCTCCTCCTCCTCGGGGCGCCTACGCCTACCTCCTGGAGGCCCCGCGGCGGCTCTCTCCTCGGGGGGTTGGGGGCGGGGAGGCCGCGGCGCGCGGGCGCACGGCGGGGCCTCCCCGACGAGTTGCCGCCGCCGCAGCCGACGTCGTCGAGGCCGCCCCCCCCGCCCTCGGCTTGACATCGCTCGGACGTGTGCGTTTTTCCTTCGGCGAGGACCATCGAGGAGCATCCTGCACCATCGAGCGGAAACAACACGCACGAAACCGACAAATGCACGGGAAATGGACGTCCGAGCGACGGCAAGTCGGGGGCAAGGTCCAGGGGGGGGATGTGATCGGTGGTGGGCTTGTTCTCCACCGCCACCACCAGAAGTAGGGGGAGGAGGGGGGGAAGGAGGACGGCAAGGGGAAGGGGAAGGGGGGCGGATTGATGGGCGACATGGGGTCAGTGATGAGGAGGAGAAAGCGAGGTGGACGATGAGAATAGGAGGAGGAGAATAAGCAGGACGTCGAGGAAGGCGAGACGGGATACGGAGGAGGACGAGGGGAACGCGGAGGAGGATGGAGCCTCCCCCACCCCCGCTCCGCAGGTGCGCAGCGGCGAAGGCCCGCAAACCCCCGTCCCAGCGCGCGTCCGCCAGCTTTTGTCACCGCCGCCCTGCATTGGGACCCTTGGCGGCGCGCTCCGCGCGCAAGAACAAGGGGGAATTACAGCGCCGACTCAGAGACAACCGCAAGGATCTCGGACAGTTGTCTATGCCAATGTGAGCAACGCAGAAGCACGGACTTGGTTTCACCAACGTTGGCGCGTAAGTTCTCCATAGCCATTTTGGCTCAAGGGAGCGGCGCGGCGCCGCCCGCCGGCATGGGCCGGTGGTTGACGTCGCTGGCGGCCAGCGACGACGCTGGCGAGGGAGCCGTGAAGGCCGAGGAGTTTTGCCAGCGCTGGCGCGTCAGCGACGGCCTCTCCGAGCTGGTGTCGGGCATTGGGCGGATGAGAACGCACGGTACGCCGTGGCTTGGGGGCCGCAGGAGCCCCCCCCTCGCGGGCCTCCCGGCGGACGAGTGGAAGGAGCTCCAGACCGCGCGGCGGAGGCTCCGCACTGCTCGTGACCGCCTCCAGCTACGGATGTATCGCCCTCACTTCGAGACCTGCAGCTGTCGCAGGTGGACCGCCAGCTCAGGAGGACAGACCTGGCCCGCTTCTTCGCCAGGGTCCCGGAGGCCGAGGTCAAGGAGATGAGCTCCGCCCTGTCGTCGCTCCGCAAGGTGACCAAGCGTCACGAGGATGCAGAGTTCGAGGACGGGGCGGCCGAGAGGGACTACGCGGACCGCCAGAGGCAGCTGCTGGTGCTGAGGGGCCTCCGCGACCTGCTGGAGAGCACCCTCGGCACCGCGAAGAGGTGCATGCAGGCCACCTCCACCCGCCTGGACCCGTACGAGCGGCCCGGACTGATGGCGGCGTGACCCGCGCGCTGGCGTGGCTGCGGGCTCGCGCCGGCATCGGCGCGCGGTGGAAAAAAAAAAAAAAAAAAAAAACGTTGGCGCGTAAGTTCGCGCGTAAGCGCTCTTGTTGCCAGCGCGTGTCGCGCTGGCGCCCCGCGCATAAGGTAAGCTGTGTAAGATCGCGATGTCATACCGCGTATGAACCGGGTCTTTTCGTCGTGCATGTGTGGTCTTCGTGTCTGGCTCGCTCGTGGCGCTCCGCTCTCTTTGCGTCCTTTCGGACGTCCTCGTGTCCTCCGCCGCGGCTGCACGGCCTGTTTACCTCAAGCCGAAGGCTTCAGCATGAGACCCATGCAGATTCCTCCGTCCTCCGTCCGTCCCCCTTCCCCCGTCCCGCCCAGCTACCAGAAGATACAACGAGCACCCCTGCCCAGCGTTGACTAAACAGTCCTGTTCGAGTCTTTCGCTCGGTTGTTTACTGCACGGCTTCTCTTGTATGGCTGCCATTATGGTGCTAGCTCTTCTGCTCTCCCTCCAACCGTAGTGCCTCCCTAGGGGGCCACATGCGAACCCTACCCCTACCCCCCACGATTTCTGAGGAAGAGGGTGGGGTTCACTCAGAAATAGTGGGGGGTAGGGGTAGGGTTCGCATGTGGCCCCCTACTCCCGCCTTCCCTGGCGGCCGCCCAACTGGGGCTGGAGCAGATGGGCTCGGAGGACCGTGCCGCATCGGCGATGCATCGGCGACCGCAGGATGTCACCACCCACCAAACCACCCCAACCCAACCCGAAGGCTTCAGTTTGCCCTCCATTTCCAGTGTGGGGGGGGGATCGGGGAACATCAAAAAAACACATGGTCCCCGTACCCCCCCCCCAACCCGAAATTCAGGTCGAATTCGTGTCTTCGGGTTGGGTTGGGGTGGTCTGGTAGGTAGTCAGGATGGAGAAGCTCGGGCCCGGGATCAAGGGCGCATCGCCGATGCATGGGCGATACGGCGGGGTCCCCCGACCGCACCTGCTCGCGCCCCACTGTGGCCGCCCTGGGCCCCCTCCCTCTCGCACCCGCGACGACGGTTGCGACGACGGCTGCGACGCCCGTCGCAACGACAATGGCAACGGCAGCGACGGCCACGATGACGACGGCCCCGTCATGCCACCTTGGATCCCGATGACGATGATGATGATGATGATGATGATGATGATGATGATGATGATGATGATGATGATGATGATGATGATGATGGTGGTGGTGGTGGTGGTGGGGGTGGTGATGATGATGATGCTGATGCTGATGATGCTGATGCTGATGCTGATGCTGATGCTGATGCTGATGATGATGATGATGATGATGATGATGATGATGATGATGATGATGATGACGATGACGATGACGATGACGATGACAATGACAATGGTGATGATGAGAATGATTATGAGGATGATGATGATGCTGATGCTGATGATGATGATGATGATCATCATTATTGACATCATCATCAGCATGCTTCTTATTACTATCATCCTCGCACGCTCGGGATGAACGGCGGCGACGACGAAGGCAACGCCAGCGACGGCAACCACGGCGCTGGCTCCAGCGGCATCGACGGCGCGGCCGGCGCCCCGCCGCCTCAGCCTGTGGCCCCGTCGGATTCGAGGCCCTGCCAGAGGACGCGGCGCTCGCGTGGAGCGTCGGGTCCAGGTGCAGCTTCGGGGCGGCTTGGGCGCCGTCGCCGTCGTCGTCGTCGTCGTCGTTTTCAGTCGGGCATGTCCCTCTACAGGAGGAATATTGAAAAATAGTTGGTAAACCAGTCTGGGGATGTTTTTCGACTATTTCTGCTAATTCTTGAATCTTTCTGACTATTTTTGGTTTTTCTTCCAAAGTCCGCCTCGCCTGTAGGAGGACATGCCCGACCTAATCGTTGTTGGTCGGTCGTTACTGTCGGTCCAGCGGCGGCGACGTCGTCGTCGCGGCCAGTCAAGCAATCGTCTGCACCGTCGCCGTCGGCTGGTTTTTACCGTCGGTCTTGTCGGCATCGGTTTCGTCGTCGTCTGTGGAACGTCATCGTCGGTCAATTGTCGTCGCTTTTGTGGTCTCCGCGCTCGGTCGGTCGGTCGTCATTGTCGTCGATTGGTCGCCATCGTCGGTCAGTCGTTGTCGGTGTCGTCGTTGTCGTTGTTGTCATCGTCGGGGTCGCTAGGGTCGTTGGATCGTCGTCGTCGTCGGTTGGTCGTGATTGTTAGCCCGTCGGCGTCGTCGATGTCGTCGCGGTCGGTCGGTCGTCGTCGCGGTCGGTCGTTAGGACCTTTTCCCGGGATCCGCCAGCCGGGCAAGGGGAGGTTTGTCTCGGCGGCGCCGGTGGCGCCCACCGCCGACGGCGCGGGCGGCATCCTGCTATCGTACGAGGGGGTCAGCCGCCCGCTTTCCGCTCGCCGCCGCTGGCTTCACCGACGCCGACGTCGTTGGTGGAGGTCGTGGTCTTGATGGTCGCGGTTGTTCTCGTTGTCGTTGTCGCCGCCTTCGTCGGTCGGGGTCGTTGTCGTTTCTGTCGTCGTCGTCGTCGTCGTCGTCAGTCGTCGCTTCCGCCGTCGCCGCTGCTGGCGTCCACGTCGCTTTAGGCTTCGTCGTCGTTCTTCATGTTTCCCTTGCGCATGCGTCAGGAGAGGCCCAAGATCGGGTACAGCCAGGACCCCGTTTAAGGAGAGCCGGTTAGTGATTGGGCCCCGAAGCACAAAATATGGACTGGACTCACTAAACCAGTTCTGCAGTTGTTGGCTTTTCTTCGTGTGACGGTAGTTCCGGTTAGTGGAATGCGGCGGCGGGGGGAGTCCCCCGCAGTACCGCCCAGGTACACATCTTTAAACCAGGTCCCATTACACCCAGTACCGCCCAGGAGGCCCACGAGAGCCCCGAGAGGCTCAGAGTGCGCCGCAGTCGAGCCAGGGCTCAGCACTCCTACCTTCTCCTCCTGAGCCTCCCCCCCTCCTCCTCCTCCTCCCCTCCTCCTCCTCCTCCTCCTCCTCCTCCTCTCCTCCTCCCTCCTCCTCCTCCTCCTCCTCCTCCCTCCTCCTCCTCCTCCTCCTCCTCCTCCTCCCTCAGACTGCCCCCCAACCCCTCCTCCGTTCTCTCCCTCCACGTCCTCCCCCTGCAGGGGAGGGGGGAGAGGAGGGGGCGGAGGCAGACGAGGAGTAGGTAGCAGGAGGAGGAGGAGGAGGAGGAGGAGGAGGAGGAGGAGGAGGCATTCCCCCTCCATTCTTTGCGAGGATCTGCTCCCGCTCTGCCGCCGCTCCAGCCGACAGCGACTCGTATCGGGGAGCTCCCATCCCAACGTGAAGGCGGCAGTGCAGCGTCGACTTCGGCGTCGGCGGCGGCGCGTCGGCGCCGGCGTGCGCCCCGCCCCGCCCAGGGCGCGGCCTGTCCCGGGCACGCCGGCGGTGGCCCCAGGACGAGCCTGCTGCTCCGGTGCGACCCGCAGGCGTCGGGTCGGCGCGGCCGCCGCCGCCGCCGGGTCCCGCTGGCCGTGCACCGCCCGCCGCCCATCGCCCGCCGTCGTCGTCGGCGGCGCGGTCGCCGCCGCGCGGCGTCACGACTTGCTCGAGCCGGGAGTGTTCGCCTCGCTGCGGGCCCCCGGGCCCTCTCAGATCGGTCCGGCCCGCAGAGCTGGCAGAGCGATGGGGTCTGGGGCTCCGAGCGTGACTGGTCACGACGTCACGAAGGTGTACTCCAGATTTCGTAATAAAAGGGAGGGGGTCTGGACCCTCCAAGACAAGCCATTTCAGACCTCCCCCGTGGGAGAACCCTCCAAAACATCGACCCCAGACCCCCCAGGGCCCTCCAAGATAGCCTGGAAGAGACCCCCCGAAATGAGACCCCCCTCCCTTTATTACGAAATCTGGAGTAGTTGTTTTCGCTGCGTCGGATCTCAGGGGCTCCCGCTGGCCGTCCACCGCCCGTCGCCCGCCGCCCGCCGTCGTCGTCGGCGGCGCGGTCGCCGCCGCCGCTTCTCGCCGCCGCTCTCCGTGCGCCGCCCGCCGCCCGCCGTCCGCTGTCGTCGTCCTGGCTGAATTGCGTCGTGTGCCGCCCGCCCGTGCGCCGCCGGCCGTCGCCGCGCCCGCGGCCGCCCGCCGCCGCCGCCGCCGAGGCTGTCACCGACTGCCGCTGCAGGCCGTCGTCTTTGTCGTCGTCGTCGTTTTTGTCCTCGTCGGCGTCGTCATCGTCGTCGTCATCGTCGTCGTCGTCGTCGTCGTCGTCGTCCGCGGCAGCTTCTGGACATCGGGCACTCGGGAGCGTTCGCCACCCCAGCGCGCGCGGAGAGGCAGGAGTGGGAAGCAGGACAGGGCTTGACCGAAACGCTGTTATGCTGGACGTTGGCTGTGTTTTTTTTTTTTTTTTTTCGTTTTGGCCGTGACTTTAAATAGGTAGAGCAAAAAGAACAATACAACATAGCAAAACGATCAACAACGTTTAGGTCCAGCCCTGAAGCAGGGGTGTCCGCGGTTCGGTCAGTTCGGCTGCTTCGCAGCCGTCTGCATTCGGTCGGCTCGGTTCGACCGGTTTTGCTGCGTCGCGCTGCGTCCTCCCGGGGATCGGCTCGGTCGGCTGCGCTCGATGTTGGTCGTCTTCGGTCGGTTTCGGCTTCGTTATCGGTGGCGAGAAGGTACCCGCATCCTCGGGGGCACGTTCGCCAAGAGGGTGCAAATGGATTGCAGTCGAAGCCCATGGCAAGTATGGGTAACCTTCTGAAGTGTACCCGTGCATCCGTGCCGCTTCGGTCCATCCCTAACGACCTTCGAAGGCCAGCCCCGCTCGAAGAGCCTCGACATGCGCGTACCAGGGGCTTGCAATCTTACTGCGCATGTTTACTATCAGTTTTGATTGTGACTCTTGACGCTTTCTATCCCCACCAGCTCATCTTGAGCCATGCTCGGCTACAGGCTGTCGCAGGCTATATTGAGCCACGCTCAGCTATCGTGGGCATCTTGAGGCTGTCTTGAGGCCTCTTGGAGGTCTGTCGGAGGCTATCTTGAGCCATGCTCGACCTCCTGTGACCATATGTGGGATAGGAGGAGGAAGAGGAGCTGGAGGGTGAAAAGGGGGAGGAGGAGGAGGAGGAGGACAACTAGAGAAGTAGGAGGATGGGGAAGAAGAGGAAACTGAGGAATGCGGCACGAAGAAGATGATGACGTTGATGTTGTTGATGATGATGATGATGAGGATGATGCTGATGATGATGATGATGATGATGATGATGATGATGATGATGATGATGATGATGGTGATGATGATGATGATGACGATTATGCTGATGATTATGATGATGATGATGATGATGATGATGATGACGATGATGAGGATGATGATGATGCTGACCCTGATGCTGATGCTGATGGTGATGGTGATGGTGATGGTGATGGTGATGGTGATGATGATGATGATGAGGAGGAGGAGGAGTAGGAGGCAGAGGGAGGAGGGAGGAGGGAGGAGGCATGAAAGGACAAGCGATGGAACGGACGATGACAAGTAGGATGAGGAGTCGGGCTTCGGAGATATGTTGTTGTGAGAGGTTCGTGAAGGACTCCGAGGATATGTTGTTGAATGTTGAATGTGTTGTTGGAGGTATGTTGTTGTGAGAGGTGTTTGAGGGTTGTGGAGGCCATCGTAGGGGCTCTCTTGGGGTTCCCGTGGGGCCTCTTGGGGCACTCTTGGGCCTCTCTTGGGGCTCGTTTTGGAGGTCTTGGGGCCCCCTTGGGGCCCTCTTGGGGCTCGAAAAGAAGGGGGGAGAGTTAAGGCAGGTCCTCCCCTCGCAGACTTACACATTGCGTCTTGGGGCCCTCTCGGGCCGCTCGTGGGCGGCTCTTGGGCGCTCTCGGGGCCGCCTTGGGGCGCTCGTGAGCCCCTCTTGGGGCTCTCTTGGGTCATCGTGGGGCCATCTTCAGGCCTCACAAGCCCGTCGGAAGTGAAAAAGCGAGAAGGCAACATTTTTGACTTGTCATGGGTTGTTGAAGGATTTTGGCCTCTTGGAGGGTGTCTAGGAAGGCTCCAATAGTACCTGGAACCGTCTTGGGGCTGTCTTGAGTCTTGTGGAGGTATGTAGGAAGCTATATTGAACCATCTTCGGCTATCTTGAGCCACCTTGGAGGCCGTCTGGGGCTGCCGAGGGCCCTCTTGGCGCCTTCTGGGGCCCATCTTGAACCCTAAGTAACTGCCCGCCCCCCCCCCTTCCCAGGCCCAGGGGAGGGTGTATGGGGAGCGGTCAAGACACCCTCCCCGCCCGCAGGCCGTCTCGCTCACTCCGACCCGCCCTCCCAAGGCATAGACCCTATGTGCGCAACGCAGGGGCGAGGTGCGCCAGGCGTGCCAGGCGCGCCCCGCGCGCCAGTCGCGCCAGGCACCCCCCTGGCCCAAGCGTGCCGGGCGCGCATGGTGCGCCAGATGCGCCACATGATCCACGTGCGCCCAGTGTGCAGCATGCTCCAACCGCGCCAGGTGCGCCACGTTCGGAACACGCGCAGAGTGTGCCAGGTGCCCTTGCGCACGTGTCGGCCCCCGCCATCCTTGTCGAAAACCAGAACGCAAATGCAGCGGGGTGGCCATCATAGCGTCTGGTGGGCTTGTACATAGCAGGCACTCTGCCAGCACTCCCGACGTCCCAGCCAAAAAAACAATGCACAGTGATCGTGGGGTGCCCGCGCATGATCCAGATTTTGTCTCGAAGTGCATGTTGCACTGTTTTTTGAAAGGGATGCTGGCCCTGCGCGAAGCAGGCAATATGCGGGCACCCCCGCCGTCCCTGGCAGAACAACAGTACAAAGTGCTCGCGCGCCCTCCCGATCATGACCCCAGACTTTGGTCCAAAGTGGGCTCTAACATTGCTTTTGTTCACAGGGCTGGTGGGCGGGGCTGCCCGCATTGGTCCTGGTTGGCTACCGATGGCCTGGGTGAGGGGGTGTTGATTAAGAGGGCACCGTGGTAAACCCTTCCCCGCAGGGGAAGGAGGGGAGAGGAGACCAAACTCGTAAAACCGCGCACGCACAGAGGGCTGGCGAGAGTCTGGGCGTGGCGCCTGCGCAGAACAGGTGCGCCGCCGCGCTCGGGCCGTGCCTTCCCTCCCTGCCATTCTCGCCTTGGGATGATCGCCCGCTCGACCTGGCCCGCTTACGCCGCCCGCGTGCCTCTGCAGCCAGCCGCGGCCACCCGTCGGGGGACGCGCCCAGGATCTGTGTGCGTGTGCATGTGTGTGTAGGTGTGTGTGTGCGTGCGTGCGTGTGCGTGTGTGTATATGTGTGTGTGTGTCTGTGTGTGTGTCTGTGTGTGTGTGTCTGTGTGTGTGTCTGTGTGTGTGTGCCTGCGGCGTGTGTGTTTCTCCGCCTGTGCGCTTTCCGCCATGGCGCGTCGCTTGGCCGCGACGCCCGACGTGTATTGTGTGTGTTGTGTGTTGTGTATTGTGTGTGTGTTGTGTGTTGTGTGTTGTGTGTGTGTGTGTGTGTTGTGTGTGGTGGTGTGTGTCTGTGCGTGCGTGCGTGCGTGCGTGCGTGCGTGCGTGCTTGCGTGCGTGTGTGCGTGTTTGCGTGTGTGTGTGTGTGTGTATGTGTGTGGTTGTGTGTGCGTGCGTGCGTGCGCGCGTGTGTGTGTGTGTGTGCGTGTGTGTGTGTGTGTGTGTGTGTGTGTGGGGGGGGTATGGGTGTGTGTAAGTGTAAGTGGAAGTGGAAGCGGAAGTGGAAGTGGAAGTGGAAGTGGAATTGGAAGTCGGAGGGCAAGTGGAAGGGGAAGTGGAAGCGGAAGCGGAAGTGGAAGCGGAAGCGGAAGTGGAAATGGAAGCGGAAGTGGCAGTAAGTGTGAGTTTGTGTGTGCGTGTGTGTGTGTGTGTGTGTGTGTGCGTGCGTGGGTGTGTGTGTGTGTGTGACCCCCCGGTCAAGCCGGGAGGGCACATGCGCCAGGAGGAGCACGGGCCCGGCCAGGCTCGGGGTAGGCACCGGGCTGGCGCCCTCCGCTCCGCAGCCGCGGCGGGGCGCCCAGCGCCGAATTCGAGGGGGGCGAGAGCGCGGCCGGCCCGCCTCGGGGCTCAGAGTCGCGCCCCAGGCCTCCTCATTCTCGCCGTTGACCTCCTCGTCCTTCTCATCCTCATCCCCGACCTCTCCCTCCTCCTCCTCCTCCTCCTCCTCCTCCTCCTCCTTCCTCCTCCTCCCTCCCCTCCTCCTCCTCCTCCTCTCCTCCTCCTCCTCCTCCTCCTCCTCTCCTCCTCCTCCTCCCCCTCCCCCTCCCCCTCGTCCTCCTCCTCCTCCTCCTCCTTCTCGTCCTCGTCCTCCTCGTCCTCCTCCTCCTCCTCCTCCTCCTCCTCCTTCCCCCTCCTCTGCCTCCTCCACCTCCTCTTCCTCCGCCCCCTCCTCCTCCTCCTCCTCCCTTCCTCCTCCTTCTCCTCCTCCTCCTCCTCCTCCTCCTATTCCTAGTCGTCGTCGTCTTCGTCGTCCTCCTCCTCCTCCTCCTCGTCCTCAGGCAGCCC